CGCTTTTTCTCTTCGGCTTCTGGCTGCTTGGCTCTGACGTGTTTCAGTCACGTGCACCTGAGAGTAGGGTAAATCAAGCCTCAACCACCCAAGCTGGCTGGAGGGTTGAAAAGGTAGAGCCCAGGGACCCAGACACGACTGAGCAGGTTACAGTGAGGAACGGCTTCGGGACAGCAACCCCTGACAGTTGCTCATCAACTCTTGGGCTTACCCTTGAGCTCTGCATGTGTGGATCTGACCCTACACAGATGACACAGACTTCGAGTGCTGAAATACGGGATAGACTACCACCGGAGTCCCAGGCTGGCCACTAGGTGGCACTTGTGTGAGATAGATCCACATCTCAAAGACTTTCACAGCAACCACAATCCACACAAGTCTTGCGGGAACTAGGAATTTGTGGTCTGAACCCATTTGGAGTGATTATCTTCTAAAATAAAGTTAATAACATTCACTGTAAGATTTTAACGATAACCAGAATCTCAAAACATAGTATTTAAAATGTCTAGGATACAATTCAGCATACTGAAAGCATCCTCAGCATACAGAAAGCAAACAGCTACTCTGAGATGAAACAGATACTGGAATTATTTGACAAAGATTTTCAAGCAGTTGTTAAAAATATTGTACAAGTAAAGAAGGGTACTCTGAAAAAATACAGAAAGTTTTGCAAATAGAAGATACGAAGAAGAACTAAGTGGAAATCTTAGAAATGAAAAAAGTCAACTACTAAAATAGAAAACCCACTGGATGGGCTCACTAACAGAAGATGATGGAGGAAGTAGTTAGTAAATTTATAAATCAATTAATAGAAATGATTGAATCTGAACAACAGACAAAGTTGAAAAACTTGAACAGAACCATAGAGATGTTAGGTAACAACAAAAGGTCTGAGCGTCCTGTCATCTGAGTCCCAGAAGCAAAGAAAAAAACGGTAGAACATAGAAACATGGAAAGAAATAGCTGAAAGTCTGGTTTACCACTGGAAGACAATCAGTTTAATCTAGTATAGCAACAGTTTAAAGCAAAATCCCATTTGATCTTCATTTTAAAAATTCAATCTCTATTTATTAGAAAACTCTCAGCAAACTTGGAATAGAAAGAAATTTTCTTCACCTGATAAAGACCATCTACTAAAAGCTATAGCCAACATTCTACTTCACGGTGAAATGCTGCTTTTTCTCAGAGATTAAGAACATCACAAGGCTCTTCTTTTTTAACACCGCTGTTTAACCTTTTGAATAGTCCTCGTCAGTGAAACAAGACAAGAAAACCAGAAAGGCCTAGAGACTGGAAAGGAAGAAATAAAACTGTCTTTACTCAGAGACAATATGATCACCTATGTAGAAAATCCCAAGGAGAACACACACACACACACACACACACACACACACACACAACCTTCCTAGAACAAACTGAGTTTAGCTTTAGCAAGATTGTAGGATACAAGATCACCACACAAAAATCAATTATATTTTTGTATATTATCAATGAACAAATAGAAACTGAAATAAAAAATATGTACACTAGCTTACAACCCCACCCCCCGATATACATAAAACAAAACATGTACAGGATCTATATGCCAAAAGCCATAAAATGTCGATGAAAGAACTTAATGGAGGCCCAAGTACATGGAAATTATAGCATTCCTTCATGGACTGAAAGACACAACATAGGATTGAGTTGTAGATTTACTAAAATTGTAGTCAAAATCTCAGCAAAACAGTTCATAGATAGAGTAGATAGAGGTAAGTGGATCCTAAAGTTCACACAGAAAGGCAAAAAAAAAAAAAAATAGCTGAAACACTTTTGAAAAAGGATAAATTTAGAAAAATCACACTATCTGATTTTAAGACTCATTACAGAGCTATAGAAATCAATATGGCACAGTGTTGATAGAAGAACGGACATAATGATTAATGGAACAGAACCACTGTCCAGAAATATATTTCTTACAAATACCCTCAGTTGGCTTTTTGTGAAATCTGTAAAGGCAATTCAATTTCAATGAAAGAAGGAGGATATTTTCAATAAATGATGTTGAAACAACTGGTTATCTGTATGCATAAAACTGAATCTGGACCTAAATCTCACATATTATATATACAAAAATCAACTCAAATGGATCGTAGATCTAAATGTAAAACATGAAAGTATAAAACTTTTAAAAGCCCAACTATGAGAAAATCTTCATGATCTGGAGTTATGCAAAATTTCTCAGATATGTCACGCAATGCAAGATCCATACCAGAAAAACGTCAGTTGGACTGCATCAGAATTTAAAACTGTGCTCTGTAAAAGGCCCTGTTAAGAGACTGAAAAGTCAAGCACAGATTGGGAGAAGATAGTTGCAAATCACATATCTGAACAAAGGATTTATACTCAGAATATGTAAAGAACTCTTAAAACTCAAGTAAACAACTCAATTTAGACATAGGCAAAAAGCTTGAACGGACATTTCATGAAAGAGAATAAAAAGATGGATGATAAATAGCATGAAAATTTTCAATGTCATTAGTTATTAGGAAAATGAAATTTAAAACCATGAAGAAATACCATTACACAGCTATCAAATGGTTAAAACGAAAAAACAAAAAAGGAAGAAATACCAAGTGTTGACAAGGATGTGGGGCAGCTGGAGCTCTCAGACATTGCTGGTGGGAATGCAAAATGGTGCAGCACTCTGGAAAACAGGTTGGCAGTTTCTTACAAGGTTAATATGTATTTAGCCTAGAAAAATTAAAACTAGGCCGGGCACGGTGGTTCACACCTACAATCCCAGCACTTTGGGAGGCTGAGACAGGCGGATCACGAGGTTAGGAGTTCAAGACCAGCCTGGCCAATATGGTGAAACCCCGGCTCTACTAAAAATACAAACATTAGCTGGGCATGGTGGTCCACGGCTGTAATCCCAGCTACTCAGGAGGCTGAGGCAGGAGAATTGCTTGAACTGGGACCTGGGAGGCGGAGGTTGCAATGAGCTGAGATGGCGCCATTGCACTCCAGCCTAGGCTACAGAGCGAGACTGCGCGTCACAAAAAAAAAAAAAAAAAAAAAAGAAAGAAAGAAAAATTAAAACCATATTCACAAAATCCTGTTCTTAAATGTTTCTAGAAGCTCTAGTCATAACTGCCAAAAATGGATAACAACTGAAATGCCCCTGGACAGATGAGTGGATAAATATATTGTGGTGTACCTACAGAATGGAATACTACTCAGCAACAAAAAGGAACCGGCCACCGACACATGACTTGATGAGTCTCGAAATAATCCCACTGCATGAAAAGGAGCCAGTTTCAAAGATTAGGCTCTGTAGGACATTTATCTGACATTCTTGCAAAGAGACAAAACTAGCGATAGAAAAGAGAGCACAGGTTGCCAATGGTTGGAGTAGGGGAGGGTCTGATTATAAAAGATATCAGGACAGAGAATCTGGAGGTGATGAAGTGCTTCTGTGTCCTGAAAGTGGTAGTAATAACACAAATCCATATATGTGTTAAAGTTCATAGAACTAGACACAAAAAACTTAATTTTTCTGTATTTTAATGTGAAGAATATAACTAAAAAAAAAATAAAGAAAAGAGATGACATCTCTTGCTTCCTATTTAAGACTGTCTAGACATTAATACTGATTTTAGTACTAATTCCAATAATGACCACCACAAGCATGTTCTTATGAAAATACTTTTTTGAGCATCCTTTACATGCTGCTTCTTTACCACACATTTTATATCACAACTTCTAATATTCACAGTCACCTCGTAAGGTGGGTTAAGTTCAACGTAGAAAAATCTGAGGGTAAGGGAAGTAAAATAATTTGTCCTATATCTCATAGTTGATAAGTGGCTGAATCTAAACTCGAACTCAGATTTCACTGCCGACCTTATTCCAAGCCTGTTTCTCCCCTCCGCTGCCCACTTAACAAAAATAATGGAAACTGACAGGGAGATATTATATCATATAAATAGCAGGAAGGGAGAATCATATTGTGATTTCCATAGATCGCAAAAACTCTAAGCATATTTTATTCTAAACTTGGAGTTGGTTTGAAATTCTAAGAGGTTGGGGAAAATTTAAAAACTATGTTTTTGCCATTGCCATTTTCTGATAATCCTCAGTAGGTGGTTCTTAATTTTCAATACGATGGAATAGTTCTCTCCACTTCTGTAAATGTACAGTAATTCTTATTTTCCCTAAGTGACTTAAAGAATCATTGTGACTTACAATTCTTGACCAAGTATTTACTAACTCCACAAATTGCAGTTTATACATTTGAAGTAAAGAGTAAACATTACAAAGTTCTGTCCTCTCACACAGCTGACTGTCCTGAGAAGTTGTGACTGGTCCTTCCTACCAGTGGCATACCACTGCCACCATCCAAAAAAAAAAAGGTAAATCCATTTTAGTGACACAGAATCTAAGCTTTCATTTTACTTCACTATGGTTGTAGCTGAATAAATATCTGAAAACATCACACATACGGAGGGTGCACATTTCTCACACAGCAAATGATATCTATGTGAAAAGCTGGAGGATGAAGGCTGTCTTGTTTGTGAATTACTCCCAGTGACTTTACTGGATAGTAGGTGCTTTTTCCACCAAAAACCCTGGCCTAGAGTACTTTCGTCTCAGCTAACACAGAGATAGGAAACTAAGGCCTCCCATAAAAGTATTTTCTTGAATGTTTTGTATTTCTGCTCCATTGAATATATTTTCTTAAATATAATAATCATTGATAAGTTTTGACTCAACATCAGTAAGATGTGACACAAGGCAAAGCCCAATTAGTGCTTCACGGCAACTTTACTGTCAAGAGTTGGGTGATCTATTTCATAAGCCAAATAAAAATAACAAAAATAATTTTATCACCAACACTTTCACTTTTGAGAGTCCAAATACTGTCCAAGTACCACCGTTATCAGGTATTGGAAATCTTCTTATTTGGAAGGTGGTTATGCCCAGAATGGTGGTGTGGGGGGACAAGGAGGTGGGCTTACCTTCCAGCAGGTCTCTGGCCAGACCAGGTTCTGCCCCTGTGGACCGAACAAAGTCTGACAGGACTGCGTCCATATCAAGAGTCATAGGATCATGTAGAAGTGCTGCCCAACACTCAGCCGAGGTGGGGTTTGGAAGCACACTAGAAACCATCCATCTGCAGGAAAGAAGAGAAAAGGCATTTTACCACGTGACGGAAATGGAGCTGCAAGTGACAACTGCATGCAGGGACCCGAGGGAGAGAGCAGGAGCCATTTCCACCTGCTGTCATATTTTTCTGAACTGGTTTGGTCCAACTGCCTGATTCTTCATGCAAGACATTATATTATAGAATTTGAACTAAAATGTCATCTCTCTGTACATGCCATGTGACAGAAGGGGTACTATGAGCCGAATGTTTGTGTTTCCTCCTCAAATTCATATGTTGATATCTCATCTCCAAGGTGATGGAGACGGTGCTATCTAAGAAGCAGGAAATGGGCCCTCGCTAGACTCCAAATCCGCTGGTTCCCCGATCTCAGACTTCCCAGCCTTTAGTACTGTGTGGAATACGTTTCTATTGTTCATAAGCCTCCCAAGCTATTGTATTTTGACATAGCACCCCAGATAGACTAAGGCAAAGGGTCATCACTATTTCCAGTGCTCCTGACCTTACATTTTATTAATTCCAATAACTGATGGGGAAAAAAGACTAGATTATTTTAAAATTTCAAACACCTAAATATACCCAGAAAAATTCAACTGGAGTTGCTAGATTTCTAATCCTCTTCCGAACTGTATAGACTCGTAATACTTTCACAATGTGATGTTACCCACTCTATTCCAATTATGCCTTTACCAGTGTGCCATCCTACCCCTTCAGCCCTCACCCCTTACTTGGCTAGTAGAAAAGACTCCAGGTTAATCCACAGTTGACTGAAATACCACACTTGCTGAAGATGGCTACTAAACTATCTGCCATCTCTCTAAGAGCTGCCATCAATCCAACAACATTCTGAAGAATGTCAGATTTCCCAGGCAGTATGATCCCAGCCAGAGAAAGAGAATGGATGTGCAGCAGCTTGACCCAGGCTGACTGCAGCAGCTGATTGCTGGGGAAAAGCAACTGTCACATTGCAAGTGAGAGAGACTTAACACGAGTCAGAGGTGCTGGGGTCCCCAGTGGGTGCTCAGTCTTTGCTGATGGAGTACAAATGCATCCTTGTGTTTGTGTAGATAAAACCTCCGCAAGTTACGGACCACGGGCCACCTGTGGTATGCCACCCGCTTTTGTAAATGAAATTTTATGGGAAGACAGCCATACCCACTCATTTGCATATTGCCTGTGGCTGCTTTTGCACCCAGCTGAGTTGAGGAGTTAAAACAGAGACCCTGAGGCCCACAAAACTGAAAAGATTTACTGCCTGGAACTTTACGGAAAAAGTCTGCAGACTCCATTACAGGCAATGGAGAATTTTATGCTAGTAAGCATGTAATTAATTTTACAGATTGTGGGGGTGAGTTTGAATCCCATGCTATTGATGACTGTCCTCTGTTCTTTCTTTCACAGTAACCCACTGGGATGGGTGCTGCTTGGTGGGGTAGGTCCTGTGTCAGTGGCCCATGCTTTAGAGCCAGGCACATAGCCTGATGTGACCCTGGCCCTGCCCTTGTCCAGCTGTGACATGGGCTTCATTTCTCTGAGCACTCCTGTTTCTCTGTAGGAATGCAGGAAATGAGCTCACCTAATGTGCAAGACCCTGAGGACTGAGGGTCTCAGGCAGGGAGGTCCATACCCTCAGGGACATTCACTGTGACCACCCCATCTTGCACACAGCTCCTACTGGGTGTAATTTTTAGTTGATGCAGCTAGAAAATAAGAAAATTATTTGACCTGATGTATATGGTACCAATTAGGAAATTGATTTCTTCCTTCTCTCCATGCACCGGGGCTTCGGCCGGGAGAGTCTCTTCTTTTGTCACTGCCACCTGGGGGACAGATCAGAAAACAAGAGCATGTGATCTCCTTACCCTCAGACTGAGGCCAAAGGCTTGGCTTTTTGTCACAGGAGGCTGGATCTTGGCCTTGGCCAATTGCCTGAGGCATGTACTCTGTCTTCCTGGGCCCTACAGGTCCCCGCTCACCAGTTGACCACCATCTCCCATGCCTGGGCCTGGCCGGGGGCTGTCTCAGCTTCCCTTGTTTTAGCAAGCACTTCTATTTCAGTGAGGATCACTTGCACAGCACAGAGCTGTATTTTTCTTTTTTTTTTATTTTTGAGACGGAGTCTTGCTCTGTCTGTCGCAGGGGCTGGAGTGCAGTGGCGCGATCTCGGCTCACTGCAAGTTCCACCTCCTGGGTTCACGCCATTCTCCTGCCTCAGCCTCCCGAGTAGCTGGGACTACAGGCGCCTGTCACCACGCCCGGCTAGTTTTCAGTATCTTTAGTAGAGACGCGGTTTCACCATGTTAGCCAGGTTGGTCTTGATCCCCTGACCTTGTGATCTACCCGCCTCGGCCTCCCAAAGTGCTGGGATTACAGACGTGAGCCACCGCGCCCAGCCTACAGAGCTGTTTTAAACTTTATTAGCACATACCACACCAGTACATTCAATCTCAGTTATGTGGTGAAATATACATAATATGAAATTTACCATTTTAACCATTTTTAAGTGTAAGGTTCAGTGGCATTAAGTACCTTTACACTGTTGAGCAACCATCACCTCCATCCAACTCTAGAACTTTCTCATCTTCCCAAACTGAAACTCTGTACACATGAAATACTAACTTTGCATTCCTCTCTCCCCACAGGCCCCGGCCACCACCATTCTACTTTCTGTCTCTGTGAATCTGACTACTCTGGGTACCTTACATGAATGGGATCATATAGGATTTGTCCTCTGTGGCTCATTTATTCTTCTTAGCATACTGTCCTCAAGGTTGCTGCATGCTGTCGGCATGTGTCAGAATCTTCTTCCTTTTTAAGGTAGACTAATATTCCACTGCATGTATAGATCACATTTTACGTATCAGTTGATTCATCTATGGACACTTGGGTTGCCCCACCTTTCGGCGGCAGTGAATTGTGTAATCTCAGCCCATTTATACTTATGCCAGGTTGCTGTACTGTGAATTTCATGAGCTTTCACCAGAATGGCAGTTAAAATTATGTCCATATCTCCTCCTCTGTATCATGTCCTTAATGCAAACATAGATTAAAGTGTGGACTTAAAATGAATGTTTTGTGTGGTAAGAAGCTACCGTGTTTATCTTGCTTCCAGATTTATTTCTTCTTCTTCTTCTTTTCTTTTTGAGATAGAGTCTCACTCTGTTGCCCAGGCTGGAGTGCAGTGGCACGATCTCGGCTCACTGCAAGCTCTGCCTCCCAAGTTCATGCCATTCTCCAGTCTCAGCCTCCCGAGTAGCTGGGACTACAGGCATGCACCACCGCACCCGGCTATTTTTTTTTTTGTATCTTTAGTAGAGACAGGGTTTCACCATGTTAGCCAGAATGGTCTTGATCTCCTGACCTCGTGATCTGCCCACCTTGGCCTCCCAGAGTGCTGGGATTACAGGTGGGAGCCACCGCACCTGGCCTTCCAGATGTATTTGTTAAATCTCACACTGCCACCATCACCACATCCTCACATTCATGTCCCATGATGATATGGGAGGGGCTGGGCTGGTGGTGACACTGGCCCCCAGTTACCTGGGCCATCCTCCCAAGCATGCACGGTGCCTCTCAACCTACCCTGTGTGGTCTAAAGCACTCACTCAGCCGCTTCGAACAGCCTGAGGCTCTGGGTGGCCGTGCCCTGGCCCTGCATTCCTGCTCTCCTCCATGCATCCTAGCCCTTAGACAGAACGTCTCTGAAGGTCTCATCAGCCACCCTGGGGAAAGTGATGTGTCCCGTCAATGCCTGGTGACTTTGCCTTAGGAGGGGCAGTGCCATGTGGGGAAGAGGGTTGGCCCTGGAATCAGTCCCTGGGGCCAAAATGGTTCCACCACTTTGTGTGACCTTAGGCATGTTATATCACCTCTCCGTGCCTCAGTTTCCTCATCAATACAATTAGAATAATAATAGTATCTCACAGTTATTATGAAATTTTAAGGAATTCATGCACAAAATGTACTGGCCCATAGTACATGCTCAACAAACATTAATCATGAGCCACTGAATGAACTCTCAACAGGGACCCTGAGACCACCCTTGCCTTCCCAAGTCTCCACTGAGCAAGAAAACTGCTGCCACCAGCTTGCTGAAGGCAGGAATAAGGGGCCTACCTCTAGTGCCTTGGCTTAGAATCACAGAGGGTTAAACTGGTGGGGGCTCCTGCCTTCAATTCCGTCTTCCTTCCCGTATCCGAGGTTGCAGTGTTCATTTCTCACTTAAGCAACCTCATGGAGCTGCTAATCTGTTCCGGCCATGACTGCAGGGACTGTGTGGGAACTATGAGCCCCCTGAGCCTCCCCAGGAGCTCCCCAGTAAGCAGAGAGATACAGACACACACACACAGGTCTCAAAGACCAACTGCTGGATTTGGAAGACACTTAGTGGAGGAACTGGTCCAACCAGACAGAGCAAAATTGCAAGACAGAGGTGTAGCAGGATAAAGACCCAAACTGCCTCAGGATACATTTTTCATTAACTTCTGTTTTGGCCAGGTATGGTGGCTTACACTTGTAATCCCAGCACTTTGGGAGGCCGAGGCTGGTGGATCACCTGAGGTCTGGAGTTTGAGGGCAGTCTGGCCAACATGGTGAAACCCTGTCTCTACAAATTAAAAAAAAAAAAAAAAAAAAAAGCCAGGTGTGGTGGCAGGTGCCTATAATCTCAGCTACTTGGGAGGCTGAGGTAGGAGAATCGCTTGAACCCGAGAGGCAGAGGTTACAGTGAGCTGAGATCGCGCCATTGTACTCCAGCCTGGGCAACAAGAGTGAAATTCCATCTCCAATAAACAAATAAATAAACAAACAAACAAATTTCTGTTTCAGTGAAGCTCAAATAAAACATTGCTATATTATATTTGTCTGTAGACGTCATAACTGGACACTGAAAGGCAATAAAATGGGTAGATGGAGAATGAACACTGGGAGATGGTGGCAGAGGCTTGTGGTCTGAACCCTGGGGACAGGTACAGGAAGACTATGGGTGAATGAATGCCTGGAGGTTACTCTTCACTCCTAGGGCAGCGAACAGGGTAGTGAATGCCTTTAAAATCTCTCTCAACAGAGGGCCAGCTGCCTGAGAGCTGGGATCTACTTCATCCTCCTTTCTATCCTCCTGGTCACAGTGCCTGGCACACACCAGGGCCAAAACTAAGGTGAGGCGAGGCGGCACCTGCCACTGCTGCAGAATCTAAGGGGATGCAAAAACACTCAGGAATCAACATAAACAACATTTTAGTGCTATATTTGCAAAAAAAAAATTTAGTGCAAAAATATCCTTGATGAACAAAATATCAGCCTTTTAAATGAAGGCAAGGTCAGCATGACTATTCTTCCTTTGCCCCTGGCTCCACAGGGTTGCCGGGCCCGGGCATGAGCTCAGAGCTGCTGCCTGGGAGGCAGGTGGTTCGGAGGCAGCCAAGTGAACACCCATCACAGCCAGAGAGACTGACTTCAGAGAGGGCCAGTGAGGGCCACGGGCAGGGGCACGCAAGTGAGTGGGGAGCGGGAGCTTGCTTTCATCAGGTCTGTTTGATGATACAGCACACTGAACACAGGGATAAGGGAACAGAGGGGTGGATGAACAGATCTGGGGTCAAGCGCAGGCTTGGGAGCTGATGGCCTGGCTGGGTGCAAGGCCCCTGCAACCCTGGAAAGGCCACTTCACTTCTTGAAGCCTTGGTGGTCACATCTGAGCAATGAGGGTGAGAACAAGTCTGCCTCTTTAGAATTGCAGTAAGGATACAGTGAGATGAGAGGATACTGAAAGAACACGCACTATTACTATTATTACCATTGACATAGATTAAAACAATAGGCAAATGTACTGTTCTGGTACTGAGAATGCGCCCTTGACTACCCATACATTTATACATCCCTGTTAAGCGGGTGAATGGTTAAATATGAAAAAAGGTCAGGCATGCCTTCATCCTGTCTGGCCTGGCGAGGAAGCCCACCCTGGTGAGGAGATTAGATGCCTGGGCTTCCCTGGTGAAATGAATTGGCCGTCTCAACTCAGATGTCAACATTCTACGAGCCTGCATGTGTGGCTCGTCCTTTGCCAGATGCCATTGTGACCTTGGGCAAGTGTGGTGCACTAGCGGACAAAGGCTTCAGTGGATGCCACGTTAGGGAAATACATCTTCCAGAGCATTTTCATGGGTCAGATGAAAGGTAAGAAAGCCCGGTGTCTTTCAGTGCGGGGGCATGAGTTCTGAGAAGTTTGGCTCTGCCAAACATTCCAGTGCACAGAGCACATCATCATTTCCAAAGCTTGGCCACGTATATTACTTATATAACCTCCACAATGCAAGCTAGAGATAAAGATGAGTCTAAGAGCAATTTGGACTGTGTGAAGCAATTGCTCCAGGAAATTCAATGTAAAAAGTCCTGGGTGAAGAGAGGGGAGGTGCTTCTTACTGAGGAATAAGAAGAGAGGTTTGGCCAGACAGCGACAGATCGGGCTGTGTGAAAATCAAACAGAAGAGGCTATGGGAAAGTCTGTGGGGCACACTGAAGTTCTTCGCATTGTTGTGGGATCATTTCACTCTTTAGTTTTCCCCTTGGTGAAGCTGATACTCTCAAATGCATTGTCTGGTCAGAACCGAGGAAGGCTCCAGCAGCAACAGCGGGCAGTGCTGGGGCCCACCACTTGCACCTGGGGCTCGGAGAAGGCACACGTGTGGGCACTGAGCCCATTTCACTTGTCCAGGAGGTGCCCTGGGCTGGACACCCAATGGGCTCAATGGGAGGGAGACATGCCTTCTGTTCAGGGGCCATGACTGGGCCTTGTGCCGGCTCTCAGAGCATCTGGTGCCTT